GAAAAAAAAGAAAATCTAAAAAGAAAACATTAAATACGCCAAATATCTCGATTAATTCAATAAAAAATTTATTTCGCTTTGAAATAATATTATACCTCACTACTGCATGACCTATCTAGAGATGTATAGGTTTTATTGCTTTATTAGAAGCCATTCTCTGGTTTTATCATCATAAAAGCTTCGCAAACGAGGTAGTAAATGATGCCACAAATCGAATTTGGTTCTGGTATCATACACTAGTGAAAATAGATGTCGATGCGACGACAATAAGTTGCCACGCAAGATAAAGAAAAGATAAGTACAATGTTAGAGTATCGCAAAAAACAAATAAAATAAAATAAAAGGTTTGCTTTAATGATATACAGTGAGTTTTAAACATACAGTAAAGCGAACTCTAAGATAAAATGCATAAAATTATTTTGCTTATATTTTTATAAATATTTAATTCCATTTTTTACTTGCTTATTGTTAAAATGATTAATCCATGAATATCTAACATAAGCAGAAATTTACGTTCTTGCACACGATACAAAAAGTTTTTCTGTTAAATTAAGAAGTGTTTTTCTTGTATTTTGCGTTTGTTTTATTTGAATACTTCAGAAATTATTTTTGAAGTGAATAATAAATTAATGACATCGATAAACAGAATGTTTAGAAAATTATTAAAGTCTCATTTTCAACGAAGCAGTCACATCGATGATAAAAATGATTGGAAAAAAACAATAATTTATTCAAGATTACAATTCATTGGGTTTAAGTTAATTGAATTTAATGAATAGTATAATAAGCATTGGAATATATAATTTCAATGCGCTAATTATGTATATTTTCTTCTATCATTGCAATTCTTGCATTTAATTACCTTTAGCAATTAAATATATTTGTTTAAAATTTAAAATTATAATCAATTAAAACACATTTTTTGTTTCGTTTTAGGTAATATTTAATATAAAAACTTGTAATGTTTTAAATTAAGCTTGGGGAGCTATTTACTTTATACTTGTGTTCATTTCTTTTATTTTTAAAATAAAAAATATTTAGAAAAAAACGTAGTTTAAAAAACTTTATTTTTATCTGTCTTTTCTAATCTGTTCATCTGGCCCATAAAATTTTTTCATCACAATAATCTGCAGTCGTAGTCCTCTAAAAATAAATCTAAAGTATATCTAAAAATTATCGTCCTTTTTAAAATATTAACATAAAACACTGCTTATAACTCTGATGGAACTATCTCACATTTCCGTTACACGGAGATTGAAACCACAAAAACCTCTTATGGTTCGTCCTATGCCATAGGTTCTCCAATCCATGATTCATTTATTACAGGAGGATATTTTTCGCCCGTACTGTAGCAACACCAACACCTGAATCGATTAGCCTTCATTGGAGCTCAATCTTGATTCACCTCAATGGAGTTGAGGGCACTATCCCCTGAGCCATCGCGACTTCTGGAACATCATCGTCGTAAATGGTTGAAAAGAAAATGGAAACACGGGCGTTGACTGTCATTAAAAAATTAAAATTTTATAATTTTATTTCACGTCTTTACAAACCAATTTGTTTATTTACAAAATCAACTTCCGTCAATAACTAATTTATTTACAAATTCAGCCATTTTTTCTCCAGTTCATTAACTTGCTAATTTCTTGATTTCTTGATTCAATCGAACCAAACTGAAATCAAAGTACTTTTGCGCGGGCAATAGTTAAACGGTGAAAAAAGATTTGGTTAATAAGTTGTAAGAATTGGAGGAGGGGTTGGAGAATTAGAATATTACAAACAGTTGTGCCGTGTCTTTGGCTTGGTTATCATTAAAGTTTATATGCTGTACAAGATAATTTTGAAAATTGACCAAGATGGTCGACTAAGGAAGTGGCTATTCTGTACATATTTTTAAATGTATAAAAGATTTTACTTATTTTTTAATAGTAATAAATATAATTTTAAGACATGGAGAAATAAAGAAAAATATACAAAAGCATTTCATTTTAATCTTGTATTTTTTCTTAAAATTTTTAATATTAATAGAATCTCTATCTATAAAAATTAAAACCTATATATTATTATGGCCATTGATGGAATATTTATTAATACTTACCGATATAGTATTTATTGATAAAGTTGTAGCTTTCATTCAAAAATAATTGGAAAAACGCCTTACTTAAACATAGGGAGATTTTAATAAAATGATTATTTTGCAGTAGTTTTAGATGATGAACGCGCAAGTGTAAAAATGAATTTCTAAAAAGGAATTAAGCTCGTAAATTAGAATTCGAGTTTTTATTTACTGTCGCCCGTGTTCCATGCATAATAATACTAAAAAAAGGACTTTTCATGCCCAAATCGTTTTATCACTGACTTCCAAACTATGCATTGACAGAGACACACTATAATAAAAAAAATTGACTTTATATNATTTCTTCTTTAAAAAAAAAAGAGGGTTATAGGCGTTGGGCCATAAGGTGGCTTTAAAAGCGACAAAGTATAAAAGTCCGCAGGATAAGGTACCATGGGATTTGACAAGTAAATCTACGACTTGTCCAAAGTTGCTGTGTACATTCATTTGTCAGATGTCACGTTTCTTTCGCACAGTTTTCCCCAATTGATTTGACAACTCCAGATACGTCGCTGGAAAAAAAACTGAATTTTCAATTTTTTTTTTCTTTTTCAGAATTCTTATTTTTCGAAATGACTGCAATTGACATTGTTTGAGAAAGATTTCCTGAAGAAGCAAGCCTATACTGAAGATAACAATATTTCAAGATTTTAGGAAGAAGGAAAATTGCGTATATTGTGAAATCATAAATTGATATTCCGCAGACAATTATTGATTAAACTAATACTGGATTCATTTTTAACAGTAATGTTGCTTCGAATACTAATAGCAAAATATTAGAATATATTTAATCAATTTATTACTTGCATACTTAAGAAGTTGGTATTAATTATTTTCCACTTTTTAATTATTTATTAGTATTATGTACTTTATAACACATTTATAACTTATTTACTATCAATTTATTTAATTTAACATTATACATATTTTTGATTTACTTATTATTGATTATTTACCTACTCATTATTTATTGGTTCAAAAATACAAATACAACTTAGGAATAAACCTTTATGCTTATTGTTTCATACAAGTTACGTCAACTTGAATGTTGTTTAATACGAATACATTTTAAGCACACAATTTCATCATTGTCTTAAAAAAAGTTTTTAAATTTTTCCAAGGTAGAATTTGTGAAAAGTAATATATCACACCTAAACGTAAGTAGAAGAAAATATAGCATAATATTAACAACTAAAGTAGACACGGGTCGTTCCACATAAATCTATGTAAAATTTAAAATTAATTTATCATTTAAAATTAAAATTATTAACAACGATTCGTTTAAATATTTTATCTTTAATAAAATAAAAGCTTTTCGGGAATCTCGACTCCCATTAGAAAATTCTTGAAACTCCAGACAACATTGTAAAAAATTCCAGATCAATTCACAGTGTAAAGTACCGGCACTTTGGGTGCTTTATACATAAATTCCATTTTACTGTAAAATCCATTTTCACCGTAAAATATTATACCGTAATTTATTACGATAATATTTATTTAATCAGAGTGAATCAGTGATTTTACTGTAATTATTACTGTTGAAATTACGGTATATCAGATTTTTTGCCATTTAGCATGTTTTAAAAATGAATTTTATGGTATAAAGTAGCGACACTGTGTGTGCCGATGCTTTTTATCGTAATTTGATCCGAAATATTTTACAGTGAAGATTGATAAAGACATTAATGAAAGATAAAATTACATAAAATATTAGAATATTATAGTTTATTAATTTGTTTCAGATTTTACAAAATAAAAAAAATATTTTCAGAGTCTTATCTAAGTTGTTTTATCCCTTTATTATTTAAATAACTTTGCATTCGGGTAAAAATTAAACTGGAACATTAATCGGTAAAGAAACTTGAGTGGCGAATATAGAGGCAGAAATCTCAGTTAAAGATTTAATTATAATATTTAAGTAATGAATTATAATAGCGCATGTAATAACTCATTAAAATAGGTTCTTCGGTGAATGGGAACTTTAATATTTGTAACTTGTACCCAAAAAATTTTGAAAAAAAAAAGCATTTATAAGTTATTCAAATTTTGTCACCATGCATACATTCAACATTAAAAGTATTTATGAAATAGCATTTTTCGCTGTAAAATGGTTCAACTTAGTATCAAAGGCTCTATTAATTGAAATAATTATAAATTTTGGGGAAAAATTCTGAGGGAATTGTTTCAAATCAACACTTCATTGAGTCTCTTACTTAGTTTATGACTTTTGCTAAAAATCCCATTAGTACAGCTTTTCTTACTTCAATTATCTCTATAGTTTTTAAAAAGAAAGACATCTTATAAATATGTGATTTTTTTGTAGAGTTTGAAACTTATATTTACAAATGTATAAAAGAATGTTGACAAATATTTCTTGCAAAATCTTCAATGCATTTTAATTAGTTTCAGCTTTTAATTAAAAACATCTTTGCTCATAGGAGATAAAAATTTTATGCCTAAATATCACTGTGTTGAATTTGATTAATGTACAGTTTAATAATATTGTTCATATAAAAATTTAATTAGTTTTTAATTTAAAAATATTTTTTGTATAATGGTGAGAGTAGTCTTTTGCCTGAATATCAATATTTATAAAATTTCATTATTATTTCTTTCGAAAACACTAGGCATAATATCGCTTTAAGATTATATATTAAACACTAGATATGCAAACATTCTAATATGAATTTAAGTCATTACAACCTGACAAATGATGGATTACATCAGATAATCGCATTAATCAAGTCTGTTACGACAAGTATCTATGCAGAAATATTTAATTCAACTAACATCCCCAACTCACAGGCCTATAAATATCTGATGATAGCTACTTTATTATCCATTGGCAGCCATATTTAATGAACTCAGCTATAAGACAACTCACCTCGACTCTTCAGGATGACGTGTAAATAATCGCTTCCCATTTCATTCGTGCCCCTGCATGTGTATCGTCCAAAGTCCTCTTCGTTCACATTGTTTACATAGAGAACACTCTCCCATGTGACCGCATCGATCTGGGATGTTCTCGTCGAATATTTATTACCAGACGGTGATTCAGTGATGTTGATGCCAGTCTCGTTGGACCAAGAAAATCTGACCATTGGTGCACCGACTGCCATACATCGAAGAAGAGAAGTTTCACCTCTTTCAGAAGCAACTTTCTGGAGACGTTTTGGAAGATAGATTTCAGGTTTAACTGAAAAATGATTAATAAATATGTTTACTATATTATATGGGATAGGCATTACATAAAAATTGTCATTAATGCACTCTCAGAAAGAAAACTCTTACTTTTGACGATTCAGCAATCCTTGATCAGTATTTTGTTAATTTTGAGAATCATTTCGTCGTAAAATAATGTGGTTTGCGACGAAATACGAACTTCTGTGACAAAAATGCTTCCTCAACTCGAAATATCAACGTTGCGCATTGTGGAAGATTATTGACTAGAATGACGAAACTAGAATTAATATATCAATTGCTTAGAAAATAATAGCCAGTAAGTAATAAAAATTAGAGCCAAAAATAAAACGGGCCACCCTGAATAACTTTTGATCTAATGATGGAATTTTTATGTTCCAGAATTGAATCTTAATGGTTTGAAGGGGTGACTTTAAATAGGTTAATTATTTAGTGCAGACGATGTTTTAACTTACGAAATCCGACACTAAAACGTACTTCTCTGAATAAACATACCGTTTTACAACAGATTCGGATTCGGGAAATATAGGTGGTAGAGGCAATCATTGAAATATCGTTCAAATAGTTTGGTCAGAAGAGTAGTTCAAAGTTAAGAA